CTCGAAAATATCAAATTCCTAAAAAGTGACTGTTCTTACCCCATTTGGAGCATAGGAACAGTGCCAAAATTGGCTCCTACACAAATTCCCTAAACTTAACAAATTAATTCCTTAGTTCCCTAAACATCAAGACTAAGTCAGAAATATTCAAGGGTAAGGAAGCAGGCCATTTGGCTATGGAGCTCAATTAATTGGGTAAAGAACAAAATGATCAGGCTCAAAGTGGCTTCTCCTACAAGACTTATTCAGGTCAGGTGGATGATTTGTGAAACGATTCAATGGGTGACTAATGCCTTCATCCTCTCAAAAACTAGGTTATAGTGCAAGTAAGTTAAGCTTAAACACTTCAAAGATGTTCTAAAAGCATAGTCAACACGCTAGCAGAGCACACAAAGACACAGTTTAAGGAAAAAAAATCAAAAAATTTTGACATGACTTTCCTATGAATATACAACTAACACCTGTGCATGCTAACCGAATTAATCTCATGTAACAACTACTGCCCGAATGCTCAATTCCCTTCCCCACACTTAAACTTTGGCATCGCCCTCGATGGCCAAAAATGCACTATGCACAAGGGGTAAAGAGGAAAGGGTCACGCGTGCTCAATCTCAACTCAAGTCAACATTACACATAGGCGTTTATAAGAGTTGCAGAAACATCCCTAAGGCACTGATCGGTGGAGAATCAGAACTGAGTCAAATGATCCTCGACACATCATCCCCAAAGCAAGACTCTGAGCTTCAAAACAAACACAAAAACACAAAACCACACAAAAACAAAGAAACATGCAAAAACAAAAGTGCAGAAATAAGCTTGGGTTGCCTCCCAAGAAGCGTTATTTTTAACATCGTTTGCCCGACGCAACCACCTCATCAAAAACTCAGTAAAAGACACTCCCGCTCAGAAAACTAGTCTTCCGCAAATCAAACCTCTTAGCAACAAATGTCCTGAGATGGCGTAAGACCTTAAATTCATGAAAACAATAGCGCATCTCAGGGCCACTCCTAAAGCACAAGAATGAGTCTAAGCCTTTATCAGGCCCTTTATCAACGAACGAGTCAAAATCATTCTCTTTAAGAGGTGGGGGTTTCCCCTCCTCCTCTCTGGTGGGATCAATGACATCCAACAAAAAACACTCATTAACATCTTGACAGGACTGTTTGGCCAGTTTGGCCATGCAAAAAAAACTCTCTCCTCCCCAACTCTCAAAATCAATTTCCCTTCCCCAACATCTATGAGGGCCCGAGCAGTGGCCAGAAAAGGTCTTCCAAGAATTAAGGGCACATCAAGATCTTGGGGCATATCCAAAACAACAAAATCAACGGGAATAACAAACTTGTCCACTTTAACCAACACGTCTTCAGCAATCCCCTGGGGATATTTGACCGATCGGTCAGCCAGCTGTATGCACATGCGTGTTGGTTTAAGCGGACCGAGTGCAAACTTCTCATACAAGGTATAGGGTATCAAATTGATGCTTGCACCCAAATCAGCTAAAGCATTATAAAAAATGTCACTTCCTATGGAGCAAGGGATAGTGAACTTACCTGGGTCCTTGAGCTTTTTAGGCATCTCCTTTAGCACCACTGCCGAGCACTCTTCATTCAGCACCACTGATTTCGGTTCTCCCCACTTTCTTATGTTAGAGAGGAGTTCTTTCATAAACTTGGCGTACTTTGACATTTGTTGCAACGCCTCCATGAATGGTACATTTACTTGAACCTCTTTGAAGAGGTTCAAAAACTTGTTGAACTTCTCAGTGTCATTTTTCCCCTTTAAGCGGTGCGGGTATGGGAGGGGGGATTGTAAGCTTTGACTGGAACGGGTTGCTTTGGAATCGTGTCCCCCTCCTCCTTCTTTTCTTCTTCCTTTTTTCCTCAAGAACAATTGCAGCAGGTTCAACGTCTTCAACTTTCGTCTTTATGGCAGCAGGCTCCAGATCCTGTCCACTTCTCAGTGTGATTGCGTGAACTTGCTCTCTTGGATTATTTTCGGTGTTGCTAGGGAGGGATCCATGAGGTCTCTCATATATGGCTTTTGCAAGCTACCCCAATCGATTTTCAATGCTTTGCATCCTTGAGTCCGCCCTTAGTTGATTTTGCGCTAATTGTTTGAGCGTTTCTTCTAAGCTAGAAAATTTTTGCTCAGTCTCCCTCCTGAAACTCCCTTGCACCGGCTGCGGTGCTTGTTGCTGACCTTGAGGTGCTTGGGGCTAATTATAGGTCCTAGACTGCTGCTGCTGCTGATTTTCTTGCCCGTAATTCCCTTGTTGCTGCTGTCCGTAGGGCTGATTGTAGTAGTCCCGTCCCTGAGAATAAATCGCATTAACTTGCTCTACTCTAGGGGCTGCCGAGTGTGCCATCATAGTGCACTCATGCGCCCAATGGAGACCCCCACATGTAGTACAAGAAGGACTAATAGGACCGGGGGCTATCATATTAACACTGGGCACCGAGAGAGCAAGATCCACCTTTTTCCCTATAGCATCCACGCTGGCTGTGAGCTTATGCACCATGCTTGCCAATGTATCTACTCATGCAGAGAGAGCAGAATTATCACTGATCTCGTATAGGCCCGGAGCCTTTTGCTGAGGAGAACTCTTGTCGTTGTACCAAGATGCATTATTTGAAACAATCTTCTCCATTAGTTCTTCCCCAACCTCAGATGGTAAATCAAGAAAGGCTCTGCCACCCGAAGCATCCAACATCATCTTCCCTTCATTGTTGAGTCCGCTATAGAAGTAGAAAAGAACCTCACAATCAGTCAAATTTCCCTGAGGGCAAGCTCTTCTCAGCACCTTGAATCTCTTCCATGCTTCAGTCAGTGTTTCTAGAGATCCCTGCTTGAACTCTTGTAGTTGCTTCTTCAACTTCAGGGTCTTTGACGTAGGGAAGTACTCTTTAATAAAGGCACTATGTAGCTGGTCCCAAGTCTGGAGGTGGTGGTGAGGATTGTTGACCAACCACCTCTGCGCATCGTCTCTCAATGAGAAAGGGAAAAACATCATTCTTACCTGATCATCAGTTAACCCAGGTATTTTGAAAGTCTGGCATATCCTCAGAAAGCGGGTAATATGCGCCACTGGTTCTTCTATAGGGCCTCCTCCAAATTGGTTATTAGACACCATGCTTATCACCGCCGTCTTGATCTTGTAATGGTTGGCAGTAATTCCCGACACTTGAATGCTATCATACTCTGAAACGTCTGGCGTAAGGAACTCTGCAATGGTCTGACGCTGATAGAGTGGATTATTGTGCAGTAAATAAGCATTTTGTGGAGGAGCCTGTTGTCTAGGCTTGGGGGGCTGGTTGTGGCTGAGCAGGTGAGACTTGGGTTTGGTTGTGATACTGATTGGGGTACGAATTATGGTACTGGGGCTGATTTTGGAATGTAGGTTGATTGATTGGAAGTGGGTTCTGTTTCGGTTGGACCCACTTTGAAAAAGTTGATATAATAGAGGGATGTTAAATTGCGGTGAAGACTGATTTTGGGAAAAGATCGGAGTACGGTAGTTTTGAAAACCAGGAGGGTTTCTAGGTGAAATTGGTGGTGAAGATTGGGGTGACATGTTAACGTAGAAATCTTGTTGAGATGTGGGGTTAGGGTTACCAGACATCCCTGCGGTTCCAGATGAAGATTGATGGTCCATAGTCATTTTCTCCTTTTGGGTCTTGCGGTTTTGTCTGGCGAGCTTTTCGATCTCAAGATTAAGAGGGATTAGCGATTCTCCCCTCTTAGAACGTGTATGCATAAACAGATTTGACCTGCAAGGTTAGCAGACAAAAATCCTACGAAAAACTAAAACACGAATCGCTGAGTTAAATTAACCCTTAAGACCAACATCGTCCCCGGCAACGGCGCCAAAAAGTGATGTGAGTTTTCTCGCACTTAAAATAGATTGTAATATAGTGGTGTAAGTACGAGTATCGTCTCCACAGGGACGGACAAAAGGGAATCAAAGATTAACTAAATTCAGCGATTAAAAAGAAATAAATAAAAATGCGTCGTGCGAGATTGGTTGCTGGAAAAAAAATGTGAATAAAACTATTAAACTAGGGGGGTCTTTCTAATTAATGACGAAGGGAACAAGGATTGATTCCGGGGTAACCACATTTCTGGCAGATCAGGCATAATTACATGAAATTAATTCAATTGAGCCTAGCTAATCATTACTAAGGTCTTACCGCTCTCGCGGCGTAGAGTACAATAATTTAGGGGGACCAGGGTGATCTATCATGCGACAGGATCCTGAATTCTTGCCAAGACGAGCGAACTTACGGCCCCTTAATTGCTATTGATCTCTTAACGAACGATTAAGTGTGTGTGAATGTGTCCTAGAATAAATTAGATCTCTCTTAATTTATTCTATAAGCAATTGTAATTCTAGTTGCGGTTCCAGGTTACAAAAGATATCAATTAAATTATTCAAACACAAATTAAACGGCATTCATGCAATTAAACCATCAAGAATCTAGCCATACATCATGAATAATGTGACACTCCGAAAAATTTAAAAAAAATAAATAGTTTATTAGTAAAATAAAATATTATGTAGTATAAAAGTGAGATTTCTTTTAGTGAATGAGATAAAATTTCAAAATTTACAAAGTTTTAGTGAGATAAAAATATTTTGATAATAGAAGTAACAGTTTTATGATAATTATGAAAGTGACGTTTTTGTAGCAGGTATAGTTACTCATTTGACGGAAATATTAGATGTGACATTTCAACCAACTTTAATACTACACAAAAATAAAAATGTCAAATTGTGGACGGGACCTAATGTATTGTGTATGTAAAATACTTATATTATGTGCTAAATAATAATAATAATAATAATAAATATAATAATAATAATAATAATAATAATAATTATAATAATAATAATAATAATAATAATAATACAAGTAATGGAATAAACTACACCATTCACAAACAGAAGTACAAGAAGACTTTGAAAACTAAATACATACGTGATACGTAGTACTCCCTCCGCCCCCCTGTTATCGGCTCATTGCGGTTTACGATGCTTGACCGACGATAAAGCAAACAGATCCCTGTACACATTCAAATTATTTTTAGAAAAAAAAATTACATATTCGGAAACTACATTAAAAGATTTACAAAGTCGTAAAAACCAGAATCAAATTTGATAAAAATTTGATACATAAAGCAAGAGATTAAGAGTGATTTGTGTTGACCAAGTGAATAGGAAATGAGATAATAACTAATCTGTGAGAGTAATTTGTGGGACGGAGGGAGTAGTATATAACTACAAGCATCGGGACGTAATAACAGTTTTAAGGTACCTGCGGGCCAAATCTTTATAACAATACGGGGTATTATTAATTAGCGACCAGCGACCTGCATGCTATATTGATAAGAACAACGAACGATAAGCTCGGATGCCAACGACCTGCGTATTCTTCGCACGCCAAAGCTAATCTGAGGAGACGTAGAACCTTCGAGCTACGACTATGTATATCAGTGTTTCGTTCTACACATACACCTACAAACAAATACACACGCCTAGCTATATATATACATACGCATACATAAGTATATACACATATATTCAAGATTTCCAACCCTACAATATACCCAAAACCCAGAATTAAAAACACAACCACAATCTTCTTTGGGACGAGAGGAGTCCAACGAATCCAGAATCGTTGATAATGATCGTCTGAAGAGCGAGAAAACATCTGACGGAGTACTGCCGGACTTGTTTTCCCACGCCGGAGAAGGAGTAAGCTGGAGCCTCTGAAGTAGCCATACCACCGTTGGGCTGCTGCCTTTCCTGACGTCGGAAAAGGACCCACAGGGATCTGCCGCTGAGACAAAATGACAGAGAGAGGGACGGTTCGCCGGAGTGGGTTTTGACGTCAACAAAAGGGAGGAGTTGAAGTTGCGCCACCGGACGGAAACGACGCCATTGGAGCTGGTTAACCCTGCCGCTCATCTACATCGGATACAAGATATTGAAGATTACATTCAAGATTTGAAGAAGAAGATGAAGAACGAATGTTTTCTTTGAGAGCTATGTACGGAAGAAGAAAGTATTGCTTAGGGTTTCAACATAAAGCTTGCCAAAAATAAATAATACATTTGGCTTATATACTATTATAACTAATACGTATGGGCTAAAGAATAGAAAGACCCATTGACAAAATAAAATATAAATAGGTCCATTAAGTCCAGCAGTTTGATCCATTGAGCTTTATTCTTGATACGCCCCCTCAAGAAGAGCATGTATATCCAGCATGTTCATCTTGACTGCAAACTGGTGAAATAATGGATTCCCAAGAGGTTTTGTATATACTGTTAGTATATATGTCCTAGCGACAATCATTTCTTTAAAGACATATGTACTTGATCACATTTAGTTTTTATATTTGATATATACACGGTATTACACTTTATGAATGATTGTTTTCGATTGTCAATGTTTAATTAATAATTGTGTTCCCTTGGATTTATGTTGTCAATAAGTAAGTGAGAGCTTATATGATATAACATAAGGTCCTAAAATAGCCTCAATCAATGATCATCAAGAATGGGATATTGATGATATGCGATAAGATTGGTATGTGGACTGCATCATACTTTTAGAAAGTATAGTTGATCTCACGACTATGAGTTCCTGTAATTCATAATGGACACATAGATATTTTAGAGAATATTGGCATACCCACCGAGAAACCATTTGATAAGTTCTATTCATGTGTCTATGGGATTATCGGCGTATAGAGTAGTGTAATAGTCCTCCGACTTGAGGTCAATACGTACTACATGTGCGGAGTGGTGTACTTTGACCATGACCAACGCTTGCACTCCAATCGGGGTAGATACGGCATGTGTTGGGTGCATCACGAAGCACATGGAGTAGTAGTTGAGCCAAGAAAGGATTCATTCCTCATAATAGATTAAGAGAGAACATTCTACTTCTCATATCTAGATGGATCATAAAGTCATTGGCCAATGCAAAGATATATTCGTTTTGGATATCGAATATGATCGTTATGGATCATCTAGAAAGATTGAGAGACAGAGACTGAGTTATTGGGATAGACACTATATCATGTTCTAGACTTAGTTGAATGTTCGCTGAATGAAAGGACCGTACCACTATGAACTCTATATTACAGGGAGTTTGAATAGTCCTCGCAAACGTCCTTATATGTTAAGTTTGTCTGGTAAATCGTCTAGGGATTCTACTAAGACCTTAATTTGATTAGTGCTTAATATACAAGGCCCTATGGGTCACACAACAAGTGATTATACCTTCCGATTGAATTGTTAGAAGGAATTAAATATTATTAATTGGATTAAATAATATTTAATTCATAATGCTGAAAATAAGATGAGTTAATTATTAATTAGATTAATATATCTAATTCATCATGTTGAAGGAAAGTTCTATTTGATAGAATTAATTAAGTTTGATAAATTAGATTTATTATACTTAATTAAGATGTAATTTTAATTAAATAAAGTTGATATTTTCTTTATAATTTAGAATTAAAGGAAAATTAGAATATAAATAATGTTAGGAGAGGAAGGAGTGGCGTGAGCCATCCTCCCCTCTAACAATCATTTATATTGATTTATTTATTTAATTAAGTACAATATTTATTGAGCCTAGTTGGACTAGAACTCATTAATGAGTAAGACTTTCATTGTGATTGGAAAACTAGTTTAGAACTAGTATAAATACACCATCCTCCTTCATAATTCAAAGACCAGTTTTCAGATTCAGTGTTACCAGTTTATTTCCCTGCGAAGAGATTTCCTAGCCTTTCTCTTAGGGAGATCCAACCGTTATTTCGGAAAGGAGAAATCACGTGGATACCAAAGGTCAAGGATTATCACCGCTAGGATGGAAGATCTGTAAGTTCTAACTCAGATCTGTTATAATTATCATATTCGTTATTTTGTCATAATCAGGAAAGATCTGTTTGAAAAAATTTTAAACTTCCGCTGCCGTACTTTCGAGGTACGTTACATCAATTTCCTAACAGTGGTATCAGAGCCAAACTGATTCAAATGACATTACACAAATTTTGATTAGTATTTTCGTGAGTAAATTTTTGAAAATATATTTTGACGTAATATTAGTTTTCGAAAGTGATATTGCAATTGATCGTTGAGATCAAGATAATGGAATTTGTCAATATTGTTTTCAAGATCTGACATATGCTTGATTAATAAGACATTAGATACTATCGTAATTCATGTATAGCAGCATATTCTTGGTTATGATCATGTTTTAGAATTGGATTTAAGAAAATTGAAATCTTGCTTATGAATTACTATCGTAATTCATGTATAGCTTTGCATCTTGTTTTTTTTGGTGAATTAGATTTAACCTAAGGGCTTGTTGCAAAATTTTAGAAATTGTAAGTTAAATGGGACAGCAACTTTATTCCGCTCAAGTAAAAATAATAAAAAACTTAGTGGAGACCGGAGACTCTAAGACGGCTTTAATTAGAATTCTAATAACAATTAAATTAATTACGAGTATCTTTGAGATAAATTTTAATTTAAACGTGTTATTGTATTTTTTTAAAGCATGTTTTTGTTTGACTTTTGTATCTGTTTATAAATTAGATTTATATTGCATGCTTTAAATTATCTGTCTGAGTTAGATCTCGTTAATATATTATTTGATAATATGTTTTAGCATCTTGATTAAATAGAGTAATTTAATATCCCGCTAAATGTTCCCCATAAATTAAAATTTAAGTCTTATCTAGGATAATGACATCACCCATCATAATTAAATTAGTAGAAATATTTTTTCGTTGAAGAATATTTCACCCAAGTGTTTATTCCATTCGACAAAATATAGAACTAATTTATAGATACATATGTTTGTGATCGTGTGATGGTTTTGACTTACTTAAATTAGCTCGAGTCGCCCAAGCGTCAGTGTTAATTTAGGGATGTCGATCAATTTAAAATTGATCAACCAAAAGTTGCTTGGATGCAATTGGTCTAGGGACCTACCCATTATATTATTGCAGTGATCAGCCCAAGCTGGGACTGTAATAGTATGAATGAGGATTTTGGCCACTATGATTGTAAAACATTTCATGTTCCTTTTATTGGGGTCAAAGAGCATGTAAAAATAGTGGGAGCTAAATAATTAAAAGTCCATATTATTTAGTTAACTAGATGTGATCATAGGAATTAATATATGATTTTAATTCCGTTCTATTTGAACTTCTTTAGGCTTTTAGGTATGTCGAATTTATCATTGAGAAGTATCTCGGATACAAATAATCTGATTGAACCAAACTTTCTAGACTTGGAACAAAATATGCGTTTCGTTCTTAGGCAAGAAAATATCGAACATGTATTTGATACATGTGTACCCGAGATCCGTGATGTTAGCTCTTCTGAATTAGCCATGTTTGACAAGGACATTCAGAAGAATCACATTGCTGAGGTACCAAATGATGTATGTCTCTACTGCAAAGAGATAGGACATTGGAAGAGAGATTGTGAGATATACAGGACTAATCTAGCCAAAGCACCGAGTGCTTCTAGCTTAGGCATTTTTGTCATTGATATTAATATGTCTACAACTAACTCTCACTGTTGGGTATTAGATACGGCTTGTGGCTCACACATTTGCAATAGTGTGCAAGGCCTAAATGACAGTAGAGCAGTTAGGTTGGGTGAGATTGACCTACGTGTAGGAAATGGAGCAAAAGTTGTTGCTGAACGTGTAGGGACTTATATATTAGATTTACCCAGTGGTTATAGATTAGAACTAAATAATTGTTATTTTGTTCCTTCTATAACAAAGAACATAATTTCCATTCCTATGTTAGACATTGAGGGTTTCTCCTTTCATTTTGCTAATAACACTTGTTGTTTTTCACAAAATGGTATTGTGTATGGAAATGCTCCTCTTATGAATGGTTTATATGTTTTTAATTGTAGACATGACATATTAAATGTACAAAATAAAAGACCAAGGTTAAGTAATCTGAAAAATACCACATATCTTTGGCATTGTAGGCTTGGTCATATTAATGAAGCCACAATAGCAAGGCTAAGTAAATTAAATTACTTAACACCATTTGATTTTGAATCATATGGTAATTGCGATTCGTGTCTCTCAGCTAAAATGACGAGTAAACCTTTTCTTGGAAAAGGACTACGGGCCAAAGAAGTGCTTGAATTGGTTCACACAGATGTGTGTGGACCATTCCCAACTCAAGCTAGAGGAGGTTTTTCTTACTTCATCACGTTTACTGACGATTTCTCTAGATTTGGATTTGTGTATCTTATGAAACACAAATCAGAAGCTTTTGAGAAATTCATGGAGTATAAGGCTGAAGTAGAGAAGCAACTTGACAAGAGTATCAAGACTCTACGATCTGATCGTGGAGGGGAATACTTGAGTAAGGAGTTTCTCGGTTACTTAAAAGGTTAGGGAATTCAGTCACAATGGACTCCTCCAAGAACACCTCAATTGAATGGTGTCTCTGAAAGGAGAAATAGAACCTTGTTAGACATGGTTAGGTCCATTATGAATTCCACGTCTCTTCCAACATCTCTTTGGGGGTATGCATTGCAAACTTCGATATACATTCTGAATAGAGTTCCATCTAAATCAGTGCAAAAGACACCATATGAGTTATGGTGTAATAAGAAGCCTGTTCTTTCACATATTAAAGTGTGGGGTTGCCCTGCTTATGTAAAGAAATTGCACACTGATAAGTTAGGAGCTAGAAGTGAGAGATGTTATTTTGTGGGGTATCCTAAAGAAACTAGGGGATATTATTTCTATCATCCTGAGGACCATAAAATCATTATTTCCAGACAGGCACGATTCCTAGAAGAAGACTTGGTCTTCAAGGAATTCAATCGTGAGAAGATAGTACTAGAAGAAATTCAAGAATCACAAAATAACATAGAGGATGAAGACTTGTTAGATGGTCAAAACAAGGATTCAGTGGGAGGATTAAGCGGAAGTATGTCCCTAGGAGGATATCCTTCAGCTAGTGGGAGTAATATAGGAAGCACCTCGCACGAGCAAGTGGTTCCTATTAGGCATGAAAGAAATGACATGGTTGTCATTCCTTCTGCACCTACTTCTCCTTCTCTGGAAACACTTAAAAGTGTAGCACCAGAAAATTCTCCGAGCATTGGACAGTCCAATGCAAGAGAACCTCTTCACAATCAGAATGAGCAGCCTGAACAATCACAAAATATTCAACTTCGTAGGTCTACTAGGATTCGTCATGAACCAACTAGGTTTGGCTTCCTCATGGAGGATCATG